GGGTTTGTTGTTGTTTTGTTTTTGGGGGTAGGGTTGCATGTGTATTTTGTTATTTTTGTTTTGGTTGTCTGTTTTGTTTTGTTCTTATGTTGACTGTTTTACTGACAAGCATTTCGAATTGGTTCCATCAAGGTGCAGTGAAACAGGCCTCTCAGAAGGCATGACGCCATAGTTCGAGCTGAGTTTCATCTTTCACGACCTCCAGTTCGCGCTCTCAGTGCTTTCTTGTCCTATATCCATTTTTAGTACCAGTGAATACACAGAGAATAACAAAGAGTGAGCTTAAAGAGATGTCACATTTTCACTGTTTCAAAAAAATGGAGATAGGACAAGAGAGCGCTGAAGTCGGGAGTTTTCCGATATGTGTGTGTGTGTGTGTACATCATTTTGACAGCTTCGAATTCCAGTCGCGAAAACGAGAGGTAGTCTAAACTGAAACATTAATTCTAGGCTGCTGAACAAGTGCATTAACTGTAAGAGTTTTGCGGTCCCATGGACGACTGTTCACCAGCCTTGGCATATTATGGTTACCCCAGAATTGCACAGTTCTATCGGCTCAGTAACTAATTTTGTGAAATTTAACGTTAAAAGGATTCGAGGTTCACATCATGTCAAGATTCTTCGAATGCAATTCTTTTAACTCCTTGATAACGACTCCGAATAATGTTACTATTGTGATAGAGCAGACTGAAACTTTGGTTTCTGACCTCGTGGTCTTAGTCACTCAAAACGGTCAAATATGCCTGTGGTGGGTGTCGCAATCGTGAGATTGTGGGTTCGGGGATTCGAGCCTCAGCTCGGTCCCACGTTGTTTCCCTGGGAAAGGCACTTTACACGATTTCCCCTTTGGCTCGGTCCTTTTGGAGACGGGCGTTAAACTTGGAGGTCCCGCCTGTTAAATAACCAAACAATGTTGATAGGGGCGTTGAGCCCATACCATTTCACCATTTTCACCAAAAATGTCAGAAAGAACTTTGTAATTCAGGGTGGCGAGCTGTGATGAAAACTACCACAGGTCGGTGATGGAAGAAACCACCAGACAACCGCGGGCCAGCGAAAGGTCAAGTCAATCCTTGACCAGTCAGATAGTACAGTCTCCGTTATGTGCGAAGTTCAAGGACGTTAAAGCCCCCCCCCTCCCCCAAGGGCAGGCAGTGCCACTGACTGAAGTGTCTTTGTTTAAGCCATTCCCAAAGGGTGTGTGTGTGGGGGGGGGGGGGGGGGTATTAACATGTCCTTATGCACAGTAAAATTGTAAATGGGCTGATTTGTAAGCTCAAACAAAATGTCACAAAAGTGATGGATATATTATTATGTACAACTGCA